ATCTCCACGAAAACCCCTTCTGATAATGTTATATATCTCTAAATCAATATCATAGTTTTAACGTTAAAGGAATAAAATAGAAAGGTAATGTAACAATTTTAGTTAGATTAGAGACTATGATAAATATATGAGGTGTTTGAAGCTATTAGTAAATATTTATACATTGTGTTTTTAACTGTTTATTAGTTAAATGTCGAGTAGTATAACACTTATTTGCTTCATAGTACAAACTGATCCTTGTGATTTGTAGTGTCAGTTGATATGTTAAGCCCATATACCATATTGTAGCTTCTGGACAAGCCAATTTACCCTATTCATCTTGCATCATGTTTTCACCTTGTTCATTATTCACTTATTAACCTTGACCACTTTTTTTGTATGAGTGTATGTGTGTGTACACCTTCTTATCCTATTCATTACATGTTTGTCATTTATTCTTGTCTGACTATAAATATTGATGAACTATTTGTTAAAGCGACTTGGCTTACCCACCATCTCCGATGCGTGTCATTTTCGTTTCGCTCTCTTCTATTTGCTTCATCCCTCTGATTTCCTGTCCAAATCAATAAATGTACAAAATATATATATTTAAAATCCATTCTCCTATTTAACTCCGTTATTCGTGGATGCAGATTAAATCATGTATTACATACACGAGGATGGACAGAATGCATATTTTGACAACAATCATTCATAAGATCTAAATAGGAGTCAGATCCTAGCCCCCCCCCCAACATGATTCTAAATAATGGACTTACACTTTTATTTCAGTGTTGTTTGACTTTCTATAAACTCACTTGGAAACTTCGATTTCTTATGAATTCATTAATGCTCTTATTGACTTTTAATTTTTGTTTTAACTCCTCATGTTGTATTAAAATGATCATTGAAATGTCACATTGTACGAGTGTGTTTGTGTGTATGTACACACTGGGCAAACATTTTTATTCACATGATTAATAATGATCTCATGATTTCTATTTTACATTGTTTCAATTGTGTTATTTAATGAGTTTTAAGTTAGAGTAGAAGTCTGTTTTTTGGCAAACTTCCTCCATATTCGAACACCGAGAAGCATGCTATACTTATATCATCTTGAGATGATGGAAAAGATTTGTGGCTGAGGTGGATAATTTTAGTGGAGTTTGTTCTCTGAGCTGGATAAATTGGTCGTGGAGCTTTTATTGCCTTTCTCGACAACATCACCAGCACAAACTTCAGGTAGACGTCAAAAGTTCGAACGTTCCTGCGTCCGACCCACAGCTTGTCCTATCGACCTTGATCCCGAATGGTTATGATTGAAATCGAGCTTGTCATTGTCTACTTAACTCAACATCAACATAGGACAGAAGCAGTGATGCACAGACTGGAAGCCTCGATCTTAACAGTGATCAAGATGAAAATAAGGGTTCGTTATGTAGACGACTTATTGTTTCTTGTTATTTTATATTAAAATGATCATCAAAATGTCACATTGTACATGTGTACGAGTGTGTGTGTGTGTGTACACACTGGGCAAACATTTTTATTCACATGATTATTAATGATCTCATGATTTCTATTTTACATTGTTTCCATTGTGAGTTTTAACCAAGATGAAGGGTTATTGTTCTTGGAAAAAGAACATTCATTTAAACAATAAGGGGAAGGCTAAATCCAATGTTCACAATCCATAAATGAATATCTTATATTCATTTATATGATTTTGCGCTTAAAATGAGGATTTAAAAATGAATTAATTTGAACAATAAATGCATTTAGTACATTTATGAACCAATTTAAGTGATATTAGCAAGTTCAATCAACAAGTTATAGTTTTAAAACAGAGGTTGTTTATAATATGGTGTGTACTATTGATGTCAACAGATATAAGTAGTATGTATCATCAATGGAAAGTAAAATATCTGGCAGTAGAAGGTTGAGAAGATCGAAGAAATGAGGATGATTGGTGTGAAAACGAAAGAATAATGAAGTTTTACACGATTGATTGACATTTTGCTAATGAAGTACTTACTTTAGGGATCTTAGATTTTACGAAGACGTTCTGTAGTTTTGTTATAACAATAAGAGATGCCGTCGCCAATTGTTATAAACGTAGAAGAGAGAGTGTGATAGTTATAACTTAAGGGGTTTCTTGTTATAACTGTCCTTTTAATTTTTACACGTATGTGAGACGCTAATTTACCTTAGACGAATATCTACACTAGGTTCCCACCCAGTGTCTATTCTACAGGACTTCAACCCAAACTCAGATCAAGAACACGAGATTAGCCTGACTATAACGTCAATATATTTCCACACACAAAGAACAGTCAATCAATAAGTGTCCATGAACAAGGAACAGTTAATACATAATAATGATAGGGGAATATGTATATAATAATGTATATAATAATTAGTGTATTTTCCACCATCACTTCATATAATACTGTACCACGTCGTTTTTTTATTGACCCAAATATCCGCAAACTCTAACGATGTGAACTGTGTTCCGTTATCAAATAGTTGTCTCAGATGTAGCAGTGTTTCAGACGTAGATGGTCTTCGTACAACATAAATTTCAGGCCATTTCGAGTACGAATCTACCACCACCAAAAAATATTGTCCACTTATAGGTCCAGCATAATCAACGTGTAGTCGGACCCAAGGCTTTGTCGTTTCAGGCCATGGCTGAGATTCTGTTTTCGGTACATTCAACGGTAAATCCCACAAACCAAATTTATCAATCCAATCAATACCCAATAGGTTGGTATTACAGTTCCCAGATACGCAACATTTCCCGGTCATAGTCTTTTCACCAAACGTGAGAGGTAGCTACATTACTCCAAGAAGAGTAATATTAGTTCCTGATGCACTCTTGGCATTATAACATGCAGGTTGATATCGGGGTCGACCAATTTTAATCCAAGTTTCTTTAGAAATTAACGTTATGTCAGACCCTGTATCGACTTGCAGTTTGACCGGTTTGCCATCTAAAAAGATGGTTACATATTTCCTTTTGGATAAGAATCGGTCACTTTTTGTGGCCAGAACAACATTTGAGTTACACGGCATTACTTTTGAAGTCTGCATAATATTTCTTTTACAGAACTTATGCTCACGGTCAGAAACCTTTGGTTTACTTTTACAACATATTTGAGCATGACCATATTTACCACATTGAAAGCATACTCGTTTTTTAACGTAGCAAACATTGGCAAGATGAGACTTACCACGTCGCCAACATGACGTTTTAGGTTTCACTTGATTTGGGATTTTCTGGGAGTTCGAATCTTTATTTCCATTTAAAGATTTACGTAAAGCATTAACTCCCACGTGTTCATTGTTCCTTTCTACGAGATTCGTGTCATGCTTTAAATTAACCAATCTTTGACACTTTTCAGATACTGATTGTAGATTGACATTAGGATCTTGCTCGATTCTCGCTAGAATCCGTGTTCTAATATATGCATCTACTGAAGATTGTAACCCACATACAAAAATAAGGCATTTGAACTGATCTGAGGACATTTCCTGTAAACGGAACCGCTCACATTCCCGGTTCACGATACTTGCATACGTTACATAATCGTCCTGTACTTTCTTTACAAGTTGAAGACACTGGTATCTAGTGTGAAAAATTGATGACCGTTCTCCAAATATACGTGTCAGGCATTCAACTGTTTCTTTGAACGTTATGTCGGTTGGCTTTTTTGGGAGGACAAAATTACAGAATTTTTCATGTTCGGACACTCCGAGCTTTCTTAATAATAATCTCAATTTTGAGCTTTCGTCCCACTCTTTACATTCATTAATAAATAAATCCTCATGGCGTTTACACCACGCCTCAAAAGTAACTCCACTTTCTGGATCAAATCTAAACTCAGTTATTGAATTTGCAATAGTATCCGGAATCATAGTGAAATTAGACACATCGGTTCTTGAGCATATCTACATATTCTTGACTAACAATTCGATTAAAGAATTTTGATGCTGCAATAAGGTTTTCAGATCATCCATTTTGTTGATACAAAAATTCACTTTAACGGAATTTATAAGCGTAGATCCGTTTTAATCACCGTCGCAAATTGTTATAACAATAAGAGATGCCGTCGCCAATTGTTATAAACGTAGGATGCTGATTATAACTCTAGCGATTTCTGGTTATAACAGTCCTTTCACTTGTTACACGTATGTGAGACGCTAATTTACCTTAGACGAATATCTACACTAGATTCCCACCCAGTGTCTATTCTACAGGACTTCAACCCAAACTCAGATCAAGAACACGAGATTAGCCTGACTATAACGTCAATATATTTCCACACACAAAGAACAGTCAATCAATAAGTGTCCATCAACAAGGAACAGTCAATACATAATAATGATAGGGGAATATATATATATATGACACATATAACACCTGTCATTCTATCTAATGTCTGACTCATCATGACAACCAATCATCGTCATCCTCGCCCACACATCAAATTGTCGCATATAAAATAAAATGGTAAATCCTGAGAAAAGTATCTTCTTACCTTCACTAGTTAATCGATGAATAGAAACTGGATTAGAGATGGTGATTTCTTTGAGGTAGTGAAATTCTATTGATCAAAATGTAATGTGACCATTGGTCAAAATGATTCAATATCCCTGGGAATTTGATTAGGTATAAGCTAGTTCGAAGCAATCAGCAGGAGGCCTTAGATCTAGATATTATTATTATTATTCAATATTATATTTTTGATTTAATATAGAATTCTCAGCATTTTTCATCATGCCTACAATTTTGAGGGAACTGATGCTCCCCATGGTGGTTGGATGCACATCATTCACTGTCAAATCTAATGACTATTTAAGTGAAACCTATCACTGGATAATGGATGTTTTAGTCTACTGCCAGATCCCCGTGAAAGTCCGATCAAATATGATGAAACTTATCGATTATAAAAAAAGGAAATCTGACGACTCCATTAAACTGGATGCTATTTTACCTCTATGGAAGACAGACGACATGCTTAAGTAATTTGAGCAACTCCATTACCGAAACAAAATATCATGAAAGATCTTACCTGAGTTACAAGAAGTTCCATAACTGTAATGACTTTATTAGGTAATCCTTTACAAGTATACAAAGGATAGTTTTCGAAAACGACTCTTAAATGATTATCCAACTGAATCAACTGTTCATTGATGAGATGAATATAATTGAACTTTGCCCGTCTTTTGTTTATTGATTCATTGATCATTTTAGTTTTATTAATCCAACGATCAAATTTGTTTAAATAGTCATTCAAGGTTAGAATATGATGATCAATTTGAGTATTATTTGTATCCATGGATATTATGGTATCACTTTTAAAGAATGGTTTAAACATATTCATTAACTGTTGTAAATCTTCATTTTCAGCTGTTGTTGAATAGACTATAGTGTTTCTTCTAGTTGCCTTGGCAATTAATGTTTCAATATTATCACCTGATGGAGGTGGTGAAGATGATAATGATGAGATGGATTGTTTGTTTGATGTTAGGGGATGTTGAAAATCGGTTAAATGAATTAACTTCGTAACCATATACTTAAATTCATTATTTGATTGATACCATCTATTTATTGATTTTTGAAAAATATCAAAACCAATAAAATTTGTATCAGTTAAATAGATGTGTAATTTTCGAATGGTCATCGTTGAATCATGTTAGTTTTCTCTAAATATAAAGAAATGAGAAAGGGACTTTTGTGGATATGATGGTAGTTTTAATAGTTAAGAGCATGAGTCAATTGAAGCTGGAACACCATGGAAAACCATGAAGCACTGGACGGCCGTTTCGTCCTATTGTGGGACTCCACAGCACTGCGCATCCAAGATCCAACACGCGAGATTCTAACCCAGCACCCAGGAAGTTAAACATTAACACCATGGGATGCCGACTCAATGGTCTAGAGGTTAAGCGCTCCTACTCGAGACTAATAGGTTGTGGGTTCGAGTCCCTTAGGCGGGATCGTGAATATGCACTGTCGAAGAGTCAGATAATAGGACGAGACGACAGTCCTGTATTTCCAGGTTTTCCATGGTGGTCTGTCTTCAATTGATCCATGATCTCAACGATAGAAATATATGACTCACTTTATGTTTACTTAACTTACGTAACTTTAGAGGATAATATTTCATCTTGTTGATCAATGTTCACATCGTCTTTGATAGGACATTGCCTTTCTTTTGTTTCTATCTTATCTGTAAACTATATTGGAAATTAGAATTCACAAATGAATTGAACTAAGAATTTGCTTTAAAGTAGAAACATTTTGTAGTTGTTTTACATTATGGAATGACTTTAGCTGGGTCATCGTTAAAACCAGAAGGCGTTGACGCAGTTGTTCCCTAACATTGAACCTACATGTTGGTTAATGAAATAACTGATGTTATTTTTCAAAAAGACATTCAAGTGTTTTGTACAGGTCACATTCATAGAAAAAAGAATTAGCCTGTAGTGTTGGTTGATATGTTAAGCTCATATACCTACCTTATTCTAGCTTCGGGGACAAGCCAATTTACCTATCTATCTTGAGTCATGTTTTCACCTTGTTAATTATTCACTTGTTGACCCTGGCTATTTCTATATGAGCGTATATGTGTGTACATCTTCTTATCCTACTCATCACATATCTGTCATCTATTTTTATCTGACTATAAATATTGATTAACGTTTGGTCTAAGCGAGTTGGCTTACCCGCCATCTCCAATGTGCGTCATTCTTGCTTCATTATCTAGAGTTAGCTTACCCACCATCTACGATGTGCGTTATTCTCGCTTCGCTCTCTTCTATTCGCTTCACCCCTATGATTTCCTGTCCAGATCAATAAATGTACAAAGTATATGTATTCAAAATCCATTCCCGTATTTGACTTATTTAACTTCCTTATTCATCATGTATTACATACGAGGATAAACAGGATGTATATTTTGACAATAACCATTCATACGATCTAAGTTTTGAGTCAGATCCTATCCCCCCTCCATAAGCCTTTCATTGTGTTTCTGAGTCATGTCACCAGTATGAGTAAGTTGGTTACCTTATAATTTAGTTATTATTTATATTTTCAGTAAAAAACCTATTTAATACTCAATTGTAACTACCTCAACATCAGATGTAATGACTTACCAGGATTCAATTCATAAAGAAATGACTGAAATGATAGCTGAAGATAAGGGAATCGTTTTTGACCAAACCAATTGATTTACATTTGAGAAATATTGTCAGTTACTAATATCATTCAAATTTTGCATCTTTTCTAAAGTGATGATCAACTTTAGACGAAATACTAAACACATTTTGGTGCTGTTAAGTTCTCCGATTTAGATGGTCTAAATTGTGACTAACTTACTTACGCCTGTTACTCCCAATGGAGCATAGGCCGCCAACCAGCATTCTACAACCAAACATTGTCCGGATATTTCATGTACCTATAAAAATTGTTGCTCTGCTTGTAGGAAGGTGCATCAGCCTCATGACTTCCGAAGGAACTCTGTTTTCATTATGAGACGCTATAATTATTCTTTCAACTCCCATGGCAGACTTTAAATGGTTTGAATAATTTTTTTCTGGTTAGCGTTTTCTTAGGGAGTTAGTTTTTTACTGGACAGGGTCGCTAACCCCATGCCAGCCCTTCTCTTTTATCCGGGGATGAAACCGGCAGTGTCCCCCGTAGGAGCTACCAGCACAGTTCTAAATTGTGAATCTTTCATTTTTGTTTTGAATAAAACGAAGCTCATATACCAGGAAAAAAGTCGCTCTGTCATATGTGGGAACCACGTCAGAAATCACCATAAGGATTTCAAAACCTTTTCAGATCAATATGCTCCACAAACAATCACAATCACTTTATTCCATTCTATGCAGATCAAAAGACACAACAGTGAAAGAATACAAATACAACTTCAACTACAAATTAGATTAAACCAACCTACAGAAAATTTACTTGAACAAATTAGACTCCCCATTCACTTACGTACACACGAGTAAAAACGATCAGTGAAACGTCATGGTACTTTATGGTTGACCAACCGTGGAGATGAACTCAACTGTGAAAACTTCAAAATTGTCAATCGAGAGAATCTTCAAAATGATAGAGAACTTCTATAGGCATGATGTTAAAGTCAGTCAACAGTGTAGATCTAATCAATTATTCTATACACTGATTAGCTACACTATAGGGATTTAATCAACCATGAGATCAAAAGGAATACCAAGAAAATCGGTGCAAAACACAAAGGAAAAAGTCATTTCAATGATATAATTTAGTGTTTATGCAATAACTGAACAGCTCACTTCAAAATGAAATAGGCTCTGATGGCAACGTCCAGAACGACAGCTTCAAAGAACTCAACAACACCAAAATCATCCACTTGAACTACAATTTTTTCCCATCATCACAAAACCGATTGTTGAAAGTCTTCATGGATTGGTTGAAGTTAGACATTAACACCATTGGATGCCGACTAGCTCAGTGTTCTATCGTATAAGTGCTCTGGCGCGAGACTGTTAGGTTCTAGGTTCGAATCTCGCAAGGCGGGATCGTGGAAGTGCACTGCTGAAGAGTCCCATAATAGGACGAAACGGTCGTCCAGTGCTTCCAAGTTTTCCATGGTGATCTAGCTTCAATTAACTTATGATTTCAATTATGAAAACTCTTTTTATCCACAATAACTTACATTCACTTTTTGTTTCGTTTTCTTCACAGATGTCATAATTTTCAGACCATATCATAAACAATTATGAAAAACGATTGGAAAGAGGTTAAAGAAGCAATAAATTCAAAATGACATATGCTGGGATTGTAAAGTTCGGAATGCGAAACGAAGCTCCGAATACATCTTACCATTGAATAGCACAGATAATTAAGTCACAAGCACACCAAGTGGATTCGAGCAGAAATGCTGGTGAGGGCTAGCGAGCGAATGCAAAGACTAATTAAGAGTTGAATGAAGAATCGAATGAATCAATAACATTCAAGCACAATTATATGTGTGGTAAAGCGAGTGATTCTTCCAGCGAATCTAGCAACTAACACTCAAGCTAGAAAGAGGGATGTAAAATGTGATCAAGCAAATATGTTCATACGGACACGATAATACTAATGTCAAGATCTTCACAATGTTATTATGCTGTTAAATAAGTTATTTGAAAAGTTTAAAAAACTAAACAAGAACAAACTTAATTGTAGGAAATGTACTTTAGGCTGATGTAAGGTAGAACAAATAAGCAGCAATCAATAGGGCTTCTCACTCTCGTCATTTCTTTTTATCCACCTGTTTGACTACATCACAGAGACCTCCATATCTCAGAACAAGCACGGAGTGCAGTAGACAGCTCAAGAAATGTCCAACTGTTTTTCACATGGTTACATTGTATATTAATATGACTTACTTCAGTTATCGATTGTTCACTGAATAGAATTTTTTGTCTTTACTTTCACTGTGTCGTCCATTGTTCAGACATTTATCGGTTTAATTTTGCATAGGTGTATATGATCGGAAGTGTATTGCTAATAGCTGGATAACTCGTTTTATTTAAACTAAATACAATGTAAATAAGTATAGATATTGAAAGGACAAATGGTAGTACAATATTGCGAATTGAATGAAATTATAAATGTAAACTATTGGATGTCATCTCAGAAGTCATAAATGTGGTGTTTATGTGAACCGATGATTCCTTTGTATTTGATGACTGCATAATTTCGAATTCTTAATACAATATAGGCGTTCGTGTACGTCTAGTACTTCTTGATGAAATTGCATTATTTCTGGGATTCCTAGTTTCCACTATAATTCAAATACTTCTTGTTATCACAGGTGGCTCGTTCACACTCGACGATCAATCATATCCTACTTACAATACCACCTATCAAATTCATTTTAAGATGGGCTAACGACACTCCCTATTGCTTGTGTTAAAGCAGATAGACTGTGATTTTAGTCGACATCATAACTACAGATGTCAAAGTTGGCAAACAATTGAATGACAGCTTAATATTTCAAAAATCTTGCACAATGCACAATCGAATCAAGCATAGTAAATAAAAATCATTAGATGAGTCATAAGTGGTATATACGAAAAAACAATTCGTACAATGATTTTGAATGCCGTGGAGCTCAAACTCCCTTTCGTTCTACTGTATGTTTCTCCTTCTATGGATAGACTGCCATTACTTTTGTTATGATACCAGAGTAAGGTAAACAAAAGACAAACACAAGCTGAACGCTTTTCTTCTATTCCATTCAACCTAAATCCACTAAGTCATATATTTGTTATTATTTTCTACTTAATTATTTAGTAAGTACGGGTTCATGTACTTGGCTTTGATCAAAACGTAAGGCACATGAATTTCGAAAAAATGTTTTAATTAGCCACACTCATAAATATACATATTAGGATAGAAACGCAGAGCGTGGGTAGTTAAACGTGTATCAACATGACAACAATTGAGTAATGTGGAGGGCCATCACTTGAGCAACGTCGGGCATTTGCAAATTCGGAAGATGGGGGACATGTGCCTGAGTAAATTACTTTTGTCAACCATATTGGATTTCCATTTTTATGAACACAGGACTTTATTGAAAAATTGTTGAATATTAGTTAGAAGTTTATATCAATAGTTATCACTTCGGGCAATATTTTAAATGAAAACTTCTGAATAGAAATGTAAATTTTCATCTCGGCCAGAGATATACACTGAATATGAAATCCAATTTTGCATTTTTATTTGACTACACAACTAACTAATGTACTTTTTATGATTGTATGCACAATATCTTTTCCAAATGTATATAGAATAGAGACTAATGGGTTGAGGGGTTTCAACTTGTCGTCCTCATAAGAAGTGTTATTTGATTTGGAATACAGTCTTTGGTGTTTAAAGAATATCAGAATCATGTCTTTGTGACTTAAGTTTTAGTGGTTTGTTGCTCTAGCTGCAGTTTGATTTTACTTGATTCACTTTAGAGAATAATAGGATGAAATGCGTTGAGTACGGGAATGGGTTTTGGATACTTACATTTATTCACTCGTTCCGCCAGACAATAAGAGAAATGTAGCTGAGAAGAACCGGGGAAAGTAAACATATTAGCTCGCTATACTACTCGTTAAAAACGTTAATATAGCTCAAAACGGACAGTTGGTAGTGTGGCAAAGAGGCAGGCATTGTATAAATCAATGAGTGACAGACAAACACAAGGCTCATAAGTGCGGAAATAGAACGACAAAAAGTAAGGAATCTATGTCAGCTTAAGCGCACATTTTCATATAAAAAGAACAGGGTTAACGTGAAAGTTAAAATAAATCAAAGTTAGGTGCTGTCTAGTGTACTTAAGTTCATTCAACAGCTTTCGTGAATCATGTAATTGTCAATTGGTACCACAAAGTACAATTTAAAACGCTTAGTCCGTGCTTTACTAGAGGAATGATGTTAACCTAAATATAGAATATAAGAATACTAAACCCAACACGTCTTCAACAGTTAAGTTGGTAAATTAGTAGTGCCATATTGTAGCTGAAAGAAACATGTGTGGGTTGTTAAGGTAAGGGATTCATCAAACTAAGTTTTTCGATGGATGTTTAAGATACAACTCTGATGTTGTCAGTTTTTATAGCCTTAATTAATTGGATGGATTTAAACACCAACGACATGTTCTAAACTACGATGCACACTATGCTTGGTGTACGCGCTTGTTATCTATTCGTGTGATCGTTTTTAACTTGATAAACTTGGATCTTTGGGTAAATATTCTATTTTATAGATTTTAGTGTTGGTTTTGTTCAGGATTTAAGAAACACATAAAATACATTATTATCTTGGTACAAATGAAATTGGTATTACGTTAACTCTTCCAATTTATTGTACTTTGCCTAGTTGTCTTTATTTATTTCTATATTGATACATCTGATAAGAAAACACTAAGGAATAGTGGTCAGTGCTATAATTTCATTAAAAGAGGTTGAGGGTTTCAGATAAAGCCACATTAATATTTTTTAAGTACATCTGAGGATCATTTACTAGTAATTTCGGGTATTTTGTGTGTCAGTGTAGACCTGTAGTCGACAAACATTTACAGCTGATTAAATAAGCCGAGTTCTAGGGAAAAGTCTTGCGCGTAACTTTTGAATACATCTTTCGGTTTACTCTGAAAACTGACCTCAACACAACTTCTTATAAGTTACTCATAGAGTTTATTTCATTTCTTTATATGTATACTTAGTTCACATCTATAATTAGGTTTACTTAGAACTGCTGTTTATGTTGTTAATCTTTTTGTTGTGTGGCAATTAAATAATGACGTTTTGGATGAATAAGCATTCATTGTGATCTCATAATTGCTGTTAACTATTGTTCTCTCCGTCAAAATCCGTGAAATCTCTAAGTATTTTGTTAGATAGCCATAAGAAATGAACATGTGCTATGTGTAACCAGGAATTGATATATTCATAGATTGACATTTGGTCATATAAATTAGAAATGAGAGATTAAGTGCATCTCATAGTTTTTCAGATATTCCAGTTGTCTTAAAGATGTAAATTTTGGTTTTCTTTAAAAAAGATGTTATTTTCCATGAGACTCTATTTGATCGATTAAAGTTGCTTATGTGGAGTTCCTGTTAGAATTTATTCGTCTCCAAAAAGAATTGAGGTCCGATTTTATATAGGTTATTCCTTGATGAATGTGTCATCGTACTACAAGAAAAAACAATAGACATACATCTTACCATTGAATAGCACAGATAATTAAGTCACAAGCACACCAAGTGGATTCGAGCAGAAATGCTGGTGAGGGCTAGCGAGCGAATGCAAAGACTAATTAAGAGTTGAATGAAGAATCGAATGAATCAATAACATTCAAGCACAATTATATGTATGGTAAAGCGAATGATTCTTTCAGCGAATCTAGCAACTAACACTCAAGCTAGAAAGAGGGATGTAAAATGTGATCAAGCAAATATGTTCATACGGACACGATAATACTAATGTCAAGATCTTCACAATGTTATTATGCTGTTAAATAAGTTATTTGAAAAGTTTAAAAAACTAAACAAGAACAAACTTAATTGTAGGAAATGTACTTTAGGCTGATGTAAGGTAGAACAAATAAGCAGCAATCAATAGGGCTTCTCACTCTCGTCATTTCTTTTTATCCACCTGTTTGACTACATCACAGAGACCTCCATATCTCAGAACAAGCACGGAGTGCAGTAGACAGCTCAAGAAATGTCCAACTGTTTTTCACATGGTTACATTGTATATTAATATGACTTACTTCAGTTATCGATTGTTCACTGAATAGAATTTTTTGTCTTTACTTTCACTGTGTCGTCCATTGTTCAGACATTTATCGGTTTAATTTTGCATAGGTGTATATGATCGGAAGTGTATTGCTAATAGCTGGATAACTCGTTTTATTTAAACTAAATACAATGTAAATAAGTATAGATATTGAAAGGACAAATGGTAGTACAATATTGCGAATTGAATGAAATTATAAATGTAAACTATTGGATGTCATCTCAGAAGTCTTAAGTGTGGTGTTTATGTGAACCGATGATTCCTTTGTATTTGATGACTGCATAATTTCGAATTCTTAATACAATATATGCGTTCGTGTACATCTAATACTTCTTGATGAAATTGCATTATTTCTGGGATTCCTAGTTTCCACTATAATTCAAATACTTCTTGTTATCACAGGTGGCTCGTTCACACTCGACGATCAATCATATCCTACTTACAATACCACCTATCAAATTCATTTTAAGATGGGCTAACGACACTCCCTATTGCTTGTGTTAAAGCAGATAGACTGTGATTTTAGTCGACATCATAACTACAGATGTCAAAGTTGGCAAACAATTGAATGACAGCTTAATATTTCAAAAATCTTGCACAATGCACAATCGAATCAAGCATAGTAAATAAAAATCATTAGATGAGTCATAAGTGGTATATACGAAAAAACAATTCGTACAATGATTTTGAATGCCGTGGAGCTCAAACTCCCTTTCGTTCTACTGTATGTTTCTCCTTCTATGGATAGACTGCCATTACTTTTGTTATGATACCAGAGTAAGGTAAACAAAAGACAAACACAAGCTGAACGCTTTTCTTCTATTCCATTCAACCTAAATCCACTAAGTCATATATTTGTTATTATTTTCTACTTAATTATTTAGTAAGTACGGGTTCATGGCTTTGATCAAAATGTAAGTGTGGGAGCTAGTGATACTGATCTTTAGACTATACTGAAGTAGGTCAGGAGGAGCTCGGACCTGCGACTACATGGCTGAAAGTCGAATGACCTGAATATTTAATCATTGTTCTAATCAGTCAACAACTGACATACTTCCTTTATCTATGACGTCCTTTCAAACATAAGTGTTACTCATTCGAAACAGGCAATTACCTACCATGCATTACGTCTA